GTGCAGTGGAGTGTCTGTGGGGTAAGTGCTGGGGTTTCTAACCTCTGGAGCAGTTCAAAAGCAGGCATCAGGTATTTCTCAGGATGGCTCCTAGCTACAGCACTGTGGGTCTTCACTGGGGGATGAAGTGAATTCCTTTCCAAAGTCTAGGCTACTGTGTAGAATTCAGGTTTCTCATCCATGTAGGAGGTGAGCCTGTAAGAATTGAGAAGTTTTCTAATAGCTAGGATTGCAAGAATCTGTACTGACAGTTTGCTGGTACTCTCTCTCACTTGTACCTATGTGGACGGCACAGCACCCTGGCTACAAAGCCAGGGCAGCAGGCACTGAGTTATTTTGTCTTCCTAAACTACTGTCCTAGGTCGTTGAATTTTACAAGGTATCAGTTTTTCCCCTGTTGAATTCCAGTGTTCTACCCATGACCACTCACCTCAATATGCAGTTATACACCTCTTGCTTTGTTTTTCTTTCTGGAAAGGCAGATGAGTGCTAGGTGCCTGTATTTAGTCATTTTGCTAATCCAAGCCAGTTTATCTGCTTAGTTCTTATGATGGTCTGGATATGAGATTTCCCCCAAAATCTCCTGTGTTAACAAAGAAAGTGTAACCCAGTGAGTCTGTTAATCTGATTAATGGATTAATAATTTGAATGGATTATTGGGTAGTAACTAGAGGCAGGTGGGCCATAGCTGGAGAAAGTGGGTCACTCAGGACATATATTGTGGATTATATATTATGTTCCTGGATCCTTGTGCTCTTTCTCTGCTTCCTGGCTACCACAACAGAGCAGCTTTCTTTAACCATTTCCTTCCATCATGATGTTCTGCCTCACCTAGGGCTCAGAACAATGGAATCAGCAGACTGAAGTCTCTGAAACTATGAGCCAAAATACACTTTTCCTCTTCTAAATTGTTCTTGTCATGTATTTTTGTTACAGTGAAGTGTAAAGTTGACTAACAGTTCTTAAATTATGTCATATGTAAACACCTATAATCCTTACTTATTAAGAGTGACTCAGTTTAGATATAGTTGTTCTTTCATCATTATATTTTTCTTCTTTCCTTCAACTTCACTTGTTAACACCAGGGTCTTAGTCCATTTTGTGTGACTATAACAAAAGACCTTACACTACGTAAGTTTAAAGAAATGAAGGTTGTTTTATTCATGATTAAGGTAGATGAACAGTTCAAATGGCAGAATATCTGCAAGGGCTTCTCTTGCTACATCACAAGATGGTGGAAGCAACACATATAAATAAACAAATAAAAGCATTCTGTCCATCTACAACTACAAAAAAAAAGAAAGAAAAAAAAAGAAAATTGCTACTTGCAGAAGAAGCACATAGTTTTGTGCCATCTATCTTCCAATAACTGTTCTGAAGTTGATCAGGTTTAATTTTTAACATCAGAAGAAGTTAAAAATTGCTTTTTTTCCCCTTGTAGTGCTGACAATTGAGTCCATAGCCTCACAGATGCTTGTGAAGTGCTACTACCTACATGCTACATGCTACATGGAAGTGCTACATGCTACCACCGAGCTACACAGTTGAAGATAATTTTAAGATGATTGAGATGGATACTACTAAGGAAACATTGAACAATGAAAAGAAAGACGAGTAAAAATAGTGTGTGGGTGGAAGTAGTGAATGGATCCAAACATAGATAAGTGGATTAAAAAGAGTAAAAAGAGCACAACTTTCTAAGAAGGCAGACATATGATAGGAAGCATCAAATAGAAATAGGTGACTGAGAGATTTTTAGTCTGATAATCTGATATTATTTCTCGGTAAGCATAGGTCATCAGAATCAGGGAGGATGTGGAACAGTCAGAAATTCATTAAGGTGGAGAATGTGTAATAAAATTAATTTCAGAGATGAAAAGTGGTGACCAGAAAAAAAGTGATAGGATTTCTAATGGTTTCCAAAGATGTTCATATTGGTGACAATGAATTTACGTTGCTATTGAATTCCTAGGCCAGAGGGCTAAATCTGGGAATCCCAACACACTGAGTCTGGCCACTTACCTTAAAAACAAATAGAAAAAGTAATGGTGAAAAGCATGAAAGGAATTTTCATCAATATGGTGATATTGGGAAGACAAAACAAACCATCATTTCCAGCCCTGTCTTTGGAGATACTGATAGGTGCTTCCAAATTATATAAACAAAGAGGACAATAAATATTCAGAGTCAAGCAGTCTTGGTCAGACTGTGTGCTAGTTGATCGTTTTCTCAATACTGGTCCCGTGTGCCCTTGTCTGTGCTGATAAGAAAGTTGCTGTTCCCCAGGTTAGTGTGGGGTTTCAACTCATTATAAGACATTTGTCCATCACATCTTTGTTTCTGGAAAATGTTATGAAGGGCAGATTGATAAAGTTGGCGATGAAACTGGAGGAGCTAATAAAATCACAGCTTTTTTATGTTGGAAAGAACTGGAAACCAGCAAGTTAAAGAAGTGATGTTGTATGTACAAATGGGAGACACTAGTAGGCCATTTTTGAAATGTGCTATTTAAAGGTTATATCACCAGGGTATTATACCAAAATATGTTATACCACACTATGCATAAAAATTAAACACAATGAAGATTTTTTTTTTTTTTTTTAGTGGTGCTGGTGATCTAACCCAGGGCCTCGTGCATGCCACACAAGCACTCTACCTTTAAGCTACATGCCCAGCCCCCATCCAGACTTTAATAAGCCATTTTTGAGATGAAAGATTTGAAAGTTACGTTAAAGACCACTCCCATGAAAGTAGTTGGCTGAGGCTGCATGGAGGAGCAAATATTTGGAGTTGAGAAGGTGAAGAGACTAAGGGATAAGGTGGAGGAGGATCATGCATACAGGCAGTGAGGAATTAAGAGAGTTGTGAGACACAGGCAACACGAAAAGGGAAATAGAAAGGTTTCAGGAGAGTGGTGTGAGTATCATGTTTATCAGTCTGATGACACAGCCAAAGACAGCCAAACTCAGAAATGTATTTTGTAATTTCTTTTATACTCACAAACTTGAGACCAATGAATGTATTAAATTGTATCTTGTGGAGAAAGTAGCTTCTATAAAAGTCTGACATGACTTTGTTGGATAAACAATGTCAGATACGCATGTAGCTATCTTTTAATTTTGAAAGTTTTAAATCTTTGTTCAAATTATTTAATTTTAATTGATATAATTATTAATTATCCCATACAGATTGTGCAGTGTCATATTTTGCTATAATAAAGAAAATGTAAACACTTAGGAATGGATTCTGACATCAGCTTCCACTGAGAATTATTAATTATAAGTTAACTGAAAAGCTAGAAAAATAACTGACAGATTTACATGCTACGTGTTTTGTGGGTCACTTGTTCCGCGTACTCTCTAATGCAACTTGTAATTTGGTTGATTTTTCTTTTCCTTTGAGGTCTCAGACTTGATAAGGACATTCTGATTTAGCAACATTTTCTCTCCCTCATTTTGTCGCGGTGGTGAGCTACAGATCAAGAGCTACAAGAACTTCTTTGTTTTTTTTTACAGACTCTGATTCACAAATATCATATGCCATTTTAAGTTTCTTTTGATTTAAATTTTTGTTTACACATTTCACACCAGATTATCAGTTGTATACTTTTACTAATCCACTGCAGGTATTTTACACTAAGTATTCCTAAAAGTCTTTTATAAAACAGTAAAATTGAGTCTGCCAGTGGGTAAGTATCATTGTTTTTTACTTGTTTGCTTCTTTCATGTTACTAATATCTGTCATTCTTGGGTATTAATTAATTCAGGTCTCAACAGAGAATGTGTTAAATGATAGCTTTGGGAGAAAATAATTTCTGTAAAACTATGGCATGTCTTCATTTCATAAAAAAAAATAATGTGGGGTGTGAATCTGGATCTCCTTTGTGTTTCTTTTATGTAGGAAGCTCCTTTTTATTTTATTTTGCCAACTGCGTAGCCTCTTTATCAAATTAGTTAACTGCATAAGTCATCATTTTCTCACTATTTTGAAGTGCTTGTTCAACATATGAATACATTATTTGGCTTTTTTAGTTACTGATAAATTTCTGTGCAGAAAGGTGTTGACAATATATACATTTTCTAGAGGCTGATGTGAATGATGCCTGCTTTCCTATTCTGCATATTGTTCAACTTTTGAAATTGTATTTTGTTTGTAAATATTTGATATTATAGCTGAAAATGATACATCATTAATATTTTTATTTTCATTTCTTTGGTTAGCAGTGAAATATATCTTTTCAGATGCTTACCTATGATGAAATTGTATTATAAAAAGAATGTATTTATATTCAAATTCTTCTTTCTCTGTGTGTGACTAAATTTATAATTATTTATCTGTACTTTCTTTTTATTCTCTTAGTCTTGGCTTACCTTTAACATTTTGGTTTTTAAGTTCAAGTATATGATATGAAATTAGTAATGTACATATGTAATGCTCCCATTTGGAACCAGTTTTCCATCTGATTCTATCCCCATGCCCATCTTATTATCTGTTCTCAAACCAATGATTCATTCCTTCTCGTACAAAAGTTACATAATTATTACAAATTGTTGAATTGCAACATTCTCATCCTGTTATTAAATTAACTGTTATATCTGCTGGTGGGTATATGAACTGAACAAATACTTTTAGGAAAGCAATTTGACATAATGTAAAAAACAAAACAAACAAAACAAAACACTTAATTTTTTTTATTTATATATTTATTTTAGGAAAAACAGTCCTAAGAAATAGTCATGGATGTAAAAAGTGTTATGTACAAGGTGGTTATTTGATATTTTAAAATATTTTAGATTTCACATTTAACAAGATTTTAACTTGTACTTTAGTTTTCAATGAGGTACAAAGTAATGCAAACCTTTCAAAACTCTACCTACACATAACCCAATAAACACAGTATATTACAACTCTATTGTCTTGCTTTGTGCCTCAAAAATATTCTTTTTAAATTTTTTTTTTATTTTTTAGTTTTCGGCGGACACAACATCTTTGTATGTGGTGCTGAGGATCGAACCCAGGCCACACGCATGCCAGGTGAGCGTACTACCGCTTGAGCCACATCCCCAGCCCTTAAATTTTAATTATTAATTTTTTCCACACTTTTTAAAAATTGTTACATTATGGTTGTACATAATGATGAGATTTGTTGCTATATATTCATATATGCACACCATATGGCAATATAATTTGGTCAGTAGCACTCCCCAGCACTTTCCCTCTCCCTCTCCTGCTAGATTATTCTTTTATCTAAGCTATTGATGTTGCTTCAGTAGATAGATGTACCATAATTTATTCAACAACACTTAATCATGATCACTTTTGTTGAAATATCATTGTACTTTGTTTTTTTTTCTGAAATATTTATCAGAAGAAATAAATAATTGAAAAACCCATGGGTTGTGTATCTTCAAACCTATATTTGACATATCTGTAGGATGAATAATTCAAATTTAAAAGTCATCACTGTTACTTTTAATAAATATTGACAATTTTCTACTTGCAATCACTTGATAATTAAAAATTGTCAATTAAAATATTTAGTGTTATCAAAGGTGAATATTGTTCCATTATTTTAATTTGCATATATTTCTCAGTGAAAATCTTATGCTTATGTTGTATTTTGTGAGTACCTGCCTAATTCCCTCATTTTTGATATTCATTGAGGTTTTCTCATTAATTTAGATGGTTTGTGTTTCCCTCTGTGTGTGTTAAATAACAGATATATTTAGCTAAAAAACTATATTAGGCAAGCAACTCCAGAATTACACAGTTATATTTAAATGTTAATTTCTCAAGCTTCTGAGATAAATCTGTTTTTCCTAATAAATATAGAATCCATTAAATAATACATGTTTAAATAATAGGAGATATATATATATATATATATATATATATATATATATATATATAATTTAAAATAGAGTGACAAATTTAAATTTTTAATTTTCCCGATCTTGTTAAATGAAGGTAGAATTATTCCTCTGAATAATGAAGATGGGAAGTTCACAGAGAAATTTAGATTTGCCTTTCCTCTTGTATTACCCTATAATATCGGACCTAAATGCTTTAATATCAGAGTGAATACATTATTCATTGACTTAATGATGCACTTTACTCTTATTTACATTTTTATTTCATAGATCTTAAAGAACGAATGAAGCAAGTTATCAAGATTAACTGAAGTTATCCAGGCATTTTCAGATTTTAAAAAATGCCTCAGAATAAACAAAATGAATGTATACTAAACAAAGAAGAGATAAATTACACAGAAATAAATTTTTTCAAATCTCAACAGAAGAGAAGACCCAAGGAAAAGCAGGATTCTGTAATATCAAATGAAGAGACTGTAAACTATGTGCCACTGAAAATCAACAGAACTTCTCAACTCAAACACAAAAAATTGTTTGTTAGAGAAAAAAAAGGTAAAGTGCTATATAAGTATTTTGTTTAAAAGATATATCTTGATTCTTGGGTTTGGAAGATTACCCCCTCTCAAAACCATTATCAAATTTTCACATTTTCTGTACAATAATTATCTATCTAAAAAGCAACTTCCTGAGCTTTTTCAGAATACTTTGTAGAATAGATTATCTCTTAAATAGTATATGTTCATTTCTGTAAAACATTGACCCAGATTCCAACATAATTGTACTATTTTTAAGAAGTATATGCTTAATAGAATGGAAGCTTTGAAATTCTGTTTCTTCCTATACTATATTAAAATTATCATTGATGCTATTTTTTAATTCAATTCAGCCTAAATTCAGTACCATAAATATTTGTTGAACTTTTACTATTGGCCTGCTCTTGGCTGGACATGCAACCTAAAAAGATATAGGAGCAATAACTACAAGAATTTAAAAAAATGACATGTTATTGTCACAGGAATGACAGATTATATAAAGTGAATGTTAACAATATTTTGAAAATAAAATTTAAAAGACTTCATAATTAATGAGATAATGGAGTTAAAGGGGAGAAATTAAAAGTTGTTTCAAAATATTTTAACAGGGTTCTTAGTTTAAGTGATTGGTAGTAATTTTCTGTATCATTAGAAAAACAGGCTATCACTAGTGACTAATCTAGTTAAAGTCAGATAATATATGACATTCTAATTTCTCTTGGTATTTCAGAGAAAAATGTGTAAAAAGAAATTGGATGTAAAGGCTAGATCTCTAGACAGAGGCTGGGACAGGTGTGGAAGAGTGGGATGTAAGTATGTTAGATTGCAGATGAAAAATATAAGAAGGAAACATCTGTCAGAGAGATGTTTATATGTCATAGGTAAGACTTGAGCATAGGAAAATTCAAGACAAATATGTGAATACATGACCAGAGGGAAGTACAAAAAAAGTGTTCGAAAATAAAAAAAATGATCAATTAAACCACAAGTGAAAAATTATCTCCTTGAATTTAGCCTGTTCTCCTCCTCTACTGCCCTCTTTGCTTCCTGAATTCCAGAATGACTGTAATTTATTTCATGAAAACTCAAAGCCCAAGAGCATTAGATACTGCCTCTCTAGGTAGAAATTCCCCAACACTCTCATGCTGCAAAATGTTTCCCCAAAATGCAATGCAATGTCACTTTATCAGAGAATATTTCTTTTTTTTAATATATATATTTTTTTTTGAGAGAGTGAATGTTAATATTTATTTTTTAGTTTTCGACGGACACAACATCTTTGTTTGTATGTGGTGCTGAGGATCGAACCTGGGCCGCACACACGCCAGGCGAGCGTGCTACCGCTTGAGCCACATCCCCAGCCCCAGCAGATAATATTTCTAGGTCTCCTGCTTTTAGGTGAAACTAGTATGAACATTTCCATATTTGCCATATTTATTTGTTGTCCCCACTCCCAAAAAAGATGTAATTTTTAAATTACTTTCCCCTTGACTGAGATATTGGTTGAATGGTTGAATATTGAAGATCACATGAGATTTAGAAATCATTTTATTTTCATGGCTCGTTTTTATTTGCATGACAGTTGTATTTTCTCTAAGTGCACTTTGTCTTCGAGTTTATTAGCACAGAAAACATGTTTTGGAATTGTCCAGAGTTAATAATTTGTAGAACATCAGGGGTAAAGGAGGCTTTAAGATGCTGGTTTGTTCTTCTTTTTCTAGGGCTTTGAGATATAGTGTGAGGTCATTTATTTGTTGACTTTTTCTTCTTTTAAGGAATGAACTCCATGCAATGAATTTTCCTCTTAGTACTGCTTTCATAGTTTCCCAGAGATTTCGATATGTTGTGTCTATGTTCTCATTTACCTCTAAGAATTTTTTAATCTCCTCCTTAATGTCTTCTGTCACCCATTGTTCATTTAGTAGCATATTGTTTAGTCTCCAGGTGATGGAGAAATTTTTATTTTTTATTTTGTCATTGATTTCCAATTTCATTCGATTATGATCTGATAAAATGCATGGTATCATCTCACTCCAGTCAGAATGGCTGCTATAGTATCTCTACTTTTTTTATATTTGCTAAAAGTTGCTTTGTGGCATATTATATGGTCTATTTTAGAGAAGGATCCATGTACTGTTGAGAAGAAAGTGTATCTCCTTGTAGCAGATTGAACTATTCTATATAAGTTTTTTTCTCAGCAAAAGAAATAATCTGTGAGATGAACAGAGAGCCTACATCCTTGGAGCAAATTTTTACCCCTCACTCATCAGATAGAGCACTAATCTCTAGAGTATATAAAGAACTCAAAAAGCTAAGCACCAAAAAAACAAATAACCCAATCAACAAATGGGCCAAGGACCTGAACAGACTCTTCTCAGAAGATGATGTACAATCAATCAACAAATATATGAAAACATGTTCATTATCTCTAGCAATTAGAGAAATGCAAATCAAAACTACTCTAAGATATCATCTCACTACAGTCAGAATGGCTACTATTATGAAGACAAACAGCAATAATTATTGGCGAGGATGTGGGGGATAAGTTACACTCATATGTTGCTGGTGGGACTGCAAAGTGGTACAGCCAATATGGAAAGTGGTATGGAGATTCCTTGGAAAACTGGGAATGGAACCACCATTTGACCCAGCTATACCTCTCTTTGTTTTATACTCCAAAGACTTAAAAACAGCATACTACAGGGACACAGCAACATTAATGTTTATAGCAGCACAATTCACATTAGCTAAACTGTGGAGCCAACCTAGATGCCCTTCAGTGGATAAATGGATTAAAAAATGTGGCATATATACACAATGGAATTTTACTCAGCAATAAAAGAGAATAAAATCATGACATTTGCAGGTAAATGGATGACATTACAGAAGATGATGCTAAGTGAAGTTAGCCAATCCCCAAAAAACAGATGCTGAATGTTTTCTCTGATATAAAGAAGCTGACTCATAGTGGGGTAGGGATGGGGAACTTGGGAGGATTAGATGGATTCTAGATAGGGCAGAGGGGTGGGAGGGAAAGGGAGGGGATAGGTGATTAGCAAGGAATGTGGAATGTGATGGACATCATTATCCAAAGTACATGGATGAAGACATGAATTGTTGTCAACCTAACTTTATATACAAATAGAGATATGAAAAATTGTGCTGTATACATGTAATAAGAATTGTAATGCATTCTGCTGTCATTTTTTTTTAAATCAATAAAAAAAAAGATGCTGGTGAGGATGGCATTGGTGAAATACCCTGGACTTCAGGCTGGACGAGGGAAAAGTGAATTTTAGAAGGAGCCAGTAGCAGGGAGGGAATTTGGAGAGCCAGGAGGTGGGGTTCTTAGTGCAGTTGAAAAATTGTTGATTTCATGATGACCACATTGAAGCGTTAGAAAATGTGAAGCTGCCCTCCAAGAGTGAGAAGTAATGATCTTTGGTTTTTGTATTTGCTGCTCTTGGAAAAGAGAAGACTCAATCATTGTTTTCCTTTCTTTTATTTTTAGACCCTGAATCTACAGCGTGGCTGGTGATAGCTGGCATCCTAGTGGTCTTGTGTATGGTTTTGCTGACAACAGTGGGTGTGTTGCTTTCAAACTGTAAGTAATTAAGTAAATATTTGTTCTCGTTGCAACTAAAATATCAGCAATATGATGTATGTATATGTGTGTGTATCTATATACATATGTAAATATATTCACCATTAAGAATTAATTTTACATTATCTTAATAATTATATTCTAAATAGTATTAATTACTATCATAATTTTTTGTCACAGTACTTTCTAGAAGAGAAGAGCAAAACAGAAAAGTTTCTACCACATCTTCTAAAGACAATGGTGAGTATTAACTCTGGCCAGGCCACTTCCAATATTTTTCTTTATTGGGGCAAAGTTTATATCTTCTTAAAACTTAACTTCAGTGAATCATGATAGACAAATTTGGATTTATCATATGATCATCTGTATTTGCAAAATACTAGGTAAAATAAGGAAAATGACATAGAAGAATGTGGAAAGGCTCAAAGTATTATAAATAAAAAATGAGTTGTATTATCTGTGATTTTATTATTAGGAGAAAAGGTTAATTTAAGTACATGTTGAATAACAAGTATGAACCATTCATATTACTTGTGTTTTTGTTTTTATTCACTTAGTTTGAAAATAAAAAGAAATCAATTGAACAGAAATGAATCATAGGGAAACATAAATTAAACCCCAATTTATAATCACTACAGAAAAGATTGGCAATACCAAATAGGATGCAGGATGAAGTTCTAGCTCACATGCCCAGCATTCTACTCTTAGACATTTGAATAAAGAAAATGAAAACTATGTACATAAGAGACTTGTACACAAATGTTTGTAGGTATTTTATTCAAAACAACTCCAAACTAAACATTCAAAATATCCATTATAGACAAATTGTTTTTAATCATATGATGATATTATCAAATAGGGACCCACTGCCCAAAGCACATAGCAAACAATATTATGGCACTAGATTTCTGCAAAAAGAAAAATTTTATTGTGCAACCAACCAGCAAAGAGGCCAGAAGCTCTTAAGTTCAGATTGGCCTCTCAGGTGAGTTGGTTGTCAGGGGAATTCACACGGAGGAAGAGACGACAAGTTGCTTGTTGATTGGAGGTCATGTCTCTTCACAGCTCAAAAGTTTCTTTTTGGGGGAGGAATTCATGTTCTACACAAGGGATTTTGAGCTTGTGACATTTCTGACTGAAAGATTAGGGGGTTTTTTTTTTGTTTGTTTGTTTGCTGTTGTTGTTGATGTCCATTTTTAAAAAGCCAGTTTCAAACTCTTAAGAGTCATTAAGGGAAAGGTTGGTGGTTTTTCATTGTAGATAATTTAAGAACTTCTTTTTAGTTTTATTTTATATTTTGGTTCTTTTCAGTTATATAAGACAGTAGAATCCACTTGACATAATTATAAAATAACTGAACTTTTTTAATTAAATGAGTTATGTTTGGGTCTGTCTAGGCCTTAACCAATTTCAATGGATGAATACCTAGAAATAAAATAGAATGAAATATTTCTACATACAACATGGAAAATCTGAAAAAACATTGAGTGAAATAAATTGGTCTAAATAGTTCAAAATTATTAAATCTTATTCATTTGTCAAAACTCTTCAAACTACATACTTTAAATCACTGCATTTTATTTTATGTAAATTATACCTCTATAATATTAATTTTAAAACTGCACAGAAGGAAATAATTAATAACAATGATTTTCTGTCCAATTTTTCCTTCTTTCTTAATCTTTAGTCTTGCTCCCAATAGGCAAATGCCATTAACTCTTCAAGCTTTTCCTTACTACTTTCACATTTCAAAATAATGTGCTCTTACTACTACATATTGAGTTATGCGTTTTAGATGGTAAGCATTGTTTTCTTATTATGATCATAATGAAACCGAACTTTTTCAGCTTCTCCTGGGGTCTGCATAAACTGAGGCCTCTGTGGCAGAATAGTGTTGTACCTCTTAATGACGGGTTATGCCTTCCAGGGTTGTAGCAAACCCCAGCTCACTGCCAGTTTCTTCTTTCTGAGTTCTTGTCTCACTAGTTGAAAAATTAAATCCAGAAATCCATAGATGAGGATGAGTGGGTGTAAGAGAAGAATTTATTCATGTGTGAAGAGAAGAGATGAAACCTTACAGGGTGAGAAGGGATGGGATAGCTGAGTGTGCTAGTTTAGAGGTTTATATATGGTAACAAAGTTATTGGTACAAATTTATGCTAATCAGGATTCAGAAAAGTACTATTGATTCAAAGTTATGCTAATCAGAATTTAGAAAAGTACCAAGGCTATTGTTTAGCCCTGCAATCCCACTGGGTCTGCCCCACTTCTGCTTTCCTACTGCAGGTCTGCAACCCCAGCTTTCTAGGAGGTTGAGGTTAGTAGATGGTGCATGCTTCAGGGTCTGCAGCCTGTGTGGAGTGGGCTTCTGCACCAGGTCAAGGCCAGCCTTGCTGCAACAGAATGGGGTGCCCCGGTTTGCCTCAGATCTGGCTTGCCAGTCTCAGGCCCTCAGGCCCTCAGGCCCTCAGGCCCTCTGGGGCATGGCAGGCTCTAGGGGGCTGTGCCACCTGTATTCCAGCCTGCCTGGACTGCCTCTCCACTACCTCACTGCAGTTTTTCTGAAGCCTCTCTGGGGAGATTATTGGGTTTGGCTGTGCTGATAGGCAGCCAGGGAGCCATCTCAATAAGAACACAGTGGACATAGTTCCCCAATCTTCTCTCTACTTTATCCTCCACATGTATCATAATCATATGATGACATTCCTCCTAAATCCCTTTTGTCTCCGTCTCATCAGGATTAACTGCACACAATTATAGGGGATTTATTTCCTTATAACTCTGTTTGTACCCTGCAAAGATTCCAGTTTTTATTTATTTATTTATTTATTTATTTTACTTAAAGGATTAGTGAACTATTTTTTTTTTTCTTCTTGAGGACAAACATAATGACTCCCTAAAATTGTTTCATGAAACTTATATTTCAGGCTTTGAATATAATTTAAATGATTTCTATTTTTCTTTCTACTTAATTAATACTGAGAATTATTTGATGAAACTATATTTTGTAGCTGGGTGTGGTGGTACATGCCTGTAGTCCCAGCAACTCCTGAGGCTGAGGCAGGAGGATCACATGTTGAAGGCCAGCCTTGGCAATGTAGTTAGGTCCTAAGCAATTTAGCCAGGCCCTGCTACAAAATAAAAAAATAAAAAGAACTGAGGATGTAGCTCAGTGTTTAAGCACCCCTGGGTTCAATCCCAAGTACCAAAAACAAGACAAAAAATATTTTGTAAAGTATTATTTCATTTTTTTCCTTCAATGCAAGTATTGACCCATATTATATCATTAGATTTCAGATTCCTTGAGACAAATTTTATATTGCTTTTTAAAATTACTTTATTTTCTTTTTCATAAAGGGTTTTTGAAATTGTGCAACTATATGCCTTCTTGTGGAATTCATTTGTTCATTTATTGTTTTGTATTTAATTCACTGGACACTCAATTAATTCTTATAATTTGGAATTCTATCACTTCTAATTATTATTTCAATATTTGGAGTTGAGACATTAATTTGATTTGTGTACTTTTTAAAAATTTATGGAATAATTGTTAAATACCTTACTGGTTAATTACAGATATTTCTTAAATACCCTGCTATTTGGATTTTTTATTTTTCCACTTTCATTTTCAGATTCTCTTTCTGAAATGTTATCAGTTATTCCATGTTTTACTTTCTGTGTTTGTTTTTGCTCTATTTTGCTTTTCTCCATGGATTAACTTCTAATTCTCCTGTATTTAAATTATCCTAATTTCACTTTTTGATCTTTATAGATCTGATATATATATATATATATATATATATATATATATATATATCTATATATATATATATTTTTTTTTGTTTTTGTTTTGTTTTTTATAAGGTTTAGTGTGTGTT